ATATTTTTTTATAATTTGATACGAAAGTGTACAGTCATGTATTCCTGTAATTTTAGTATTTCGGTAGTTTTATGGCGCAAATTTTGCATAATCATTATTTTTTGTAATGTCCTTTAGAAATTAATTTCGTTTATTCATAAAACATGTGCTCGAAAATACTTTAAAATAGCAATTTGAAATAAATAATTATTGCTTTCCGATAAACCTGTAAAGCCAATAGTGGCATCATTATTAAGCATTGTAACGTTTTTACCTACCTTTTACGTTTTATCATTTATAAAATCAAGAAATAAAGAAATATTTAAATAATTTATAACATTTGAACTCCGTCTTTAAGTCGTGTAAAAGATTTTAAAGTTTATAATTATTCTCAAATTCAATATTTTTATTAAATGCATTAGAGTTGGGTAACTCACTACGGAATTATCATTTCGATACAACTCCTCCATCGGAGTGAATCCGAGCGGAGTTGTGTCGGAGATTTTGTCATATCCGACTTTCCTAAACTGGTATTAAATCTGTGTTTTTGCTTTGGGAAAGAAGCGGTCGCTTTCTCGACTCACAGGCAGTTTTATGACGGGTTAAAATAATGCCATTGTGTATTTTCCAGAAAATGCAAAAATTTTACTTCAAAGATACAGAACAATGAAATTGTGTTCAAGGGTGAATAGCTCAAATGTATAATTTATTGAATAGAGTATTTCGGTTTCAAAGTTGTCGGAGTCGTGGAGTTGTTAAGCGGATATAATTCCACCCTGAAGCGGAGTCAAATTCTCACCGATCCAGCTTCGGATATAATAAGCCCATCTTTAAAATGCATGATAGGGTTCTAAGATATTCTATATGATTCGACACATTTTTACATTTTAGCAAATGCGTTATATATATGTTATTGTCAGTTGCAGTTTCTTGCAATTGTAATAATTTTTTGTTGAATTTTAAGAATTACTTAATTCAAGTCTATTATTATTATCGTATTTCTTTTGAGCAACACAATTTACACTAACCTTAGGTTTACTCCTTTGCGATTTTTATGAAACTTTGCATGGTGAGGCTTAAAATAATATAGACCTGTGAGAAGAGGTTTAATTATAAAAATTAATTAAATATTTGAAAATATGATCAGGTAGGTTAATGAGGTTAGGCGCTTTCTTCCACTTTCAGGACTCAGATTCATAGATAGGGATAGATAAGGAAGTTAAAAATGATCAGGTTCAAATACCGTTAGCGTCTAATTTATTTTTAAGTCGATAAGATTCTATCATATTAAGTACAAATTAGTAAATTTTGACCATCTCGATTTTTAAGTGAGGAAAAGTACATTTAGCCCGTCATCTATTATGCCCATCCTTGTCCGTGGGCCTTGAAAACGTTCGCGTGCGACGGAAATAGAATAAGTTTTAACTGTGACTGAAAATTGCATATCGAAACAACGAAACGCGCATATAACATTCCGTAAATTTTAATTTTGTTCCTAAAATACCAACGGATTTGTTCAAATACAAATCAACAGGATACTGATGGAATTGTTTCAAGTAAACAAAGCAATTGTGCCGTCATTTAATTCAAGCCTTGCTTGTTTTCTGAAAATACACATAAAAAAGAAGAATGATTTCAGAAAGATAAGAGAAAATTCGAAAATCAACATCTAATGAAGTGTTGTAGACACTGATAGTGAGTCTCATTCACTTAGATTTTAATAAGGAAAATTTTATTCAAATTTCATCCATTTTCCTTTTAAAATGTTCTATTATTTAAAACCAAAAGGCGCCTGTTCATATAATTTAAATAGATACTACTAGACTTGATTCATTTGATTTATATGAAGACTTATTACTGGTACCTATTGGTACTAGTAATAATAAATAAAATCTGTTTAAACAACTATTGGATATCAAAAACTTAAATCCCAGTAGAAATGATTTGCGCCTAAATATTGTCTTTATGTAGGCAAAAGTGGTCACCAAATGGGCGCAATATAGTCCCAATATTCAATATAGTCCCAATATTCTCCCAATATTGTTCTATATTGGCATATAAAATCTAGCCAACATTCAAAACCAACATGGGCCCCATTTGCTTAGTAATCCTTGAAGGAATAGGTGCAGATAATACGAAAAAAGAAAAACAAATTCATATACATTTAATACAAGCTTATAAAGATTGCACATAATTTTAAAAAATGTGGTAAAATGATTAAAATGTTTTGTTCATCCTTTTTGTCAAATCGTCTCCAGTATTTTTCCTTCCTTTGAATTGTTAATGAATAGAATCACGTTATGAATGTCCTGTTAGGCAAGTATAAGAACTTGAAGTCATGAACGCGCGTGTTGACTCATAGAATCAAATATAATTGTCTCTTCTATTAATGCATGCTGAGTTGAGTCACAGTTTTTTTATAGAAGCATTAACACTAGCATCTTGCATATTAATGAATTTCAGAAGATAAATATATTGTTCTAACAAACTTATATTAAATCTAGATATTATAAAAGTAGTATTTACGGAATTAGCTATTGATTCCAAGAATGGAATTTAAAAATAAAAATTTGTCTAGACACTGGTTGTTAGTCTCATTCCAATTTCATACATTTTCCTCTTAAAATGTTCTATCACAGAGATTATGTAGGTAATACGTTCACATGTAAAGTATAAATTCGAAAACTTGATCATAAAAGAATATAATTAAAATATTTCATAAGGCAAGGTACTATGTGAATCTGTGATGTTATAATATAAATTATAATAATTTATTTAAAAAATAAGCTAATTTTTAATAATAAAAATTTGAAATTGAAGGGATCAAAAATAATCAAGACACCACTATAAAATACATCATTGAATTAAATTACTGAAAAAACATAGAATAATCATGGAAATTTGTCTTCACATGATTCCAAGGATTTTGGCATAAATTTGTAATTCAAATTAAAATCGTCAAATTAGGCCGCAGATCTATTGAAGATAAATTTGTAAATGTTTGGTCTTAATGATTGTTAAATTTGTATTCTGTCAAGGAAACGGTTGTTATAAAATATCTCCGAACACCAAATCGTGCTAAAAAAATCGAGAAAAATAGTACCTGTTTTGTCTACTGAATGAATGGAGAATGGGCGTCTATTATATCAGACTAGATTTTGATAACAAAATGCATTGTTTACACCATATTAAAATTCTGTGAATAGCAAGGGCCATGATTGGCATCTTTAGGTATCAGTATTTAAGAAACCCTTTTAAGTATTGAAAAATGATCAGGATAAATATTTGGAAAACGTCAATTGTAAGCCTGAAAAAAATCGGTTACCAAAGCAAATTTATATCAAATTTAATATCTTCAATATAAAGTTTTTTGCGCCTCATTTGATTTACTTGTTTTATATTTTCAAATAGCAGCCACATCATTCTCCTTGAAACTCTGTAAAGCTCTTGTCGATTCATAACGGGGGTGTCCATAATATTTGTATGTACTTATATATTGTATAAACGATATATACATCTGGACGCAGAAATATAGTTTAATGACTTAAAAGCTTACCATATATTAATGACACCATTGAGGTATACAAGATTTAAACGTTTCTAACACAGATGTATTTTTTCTTTTTTTTTTCAAAAATTCTATTGTTCATAATTCTTCAAAATAATGATTAAAACATTATTTTTGTTTCGTCTACAAGTTAAAACTAATCAAATATTATCATACAAATTCATCAGCATTTATTCATATATAAAACAATATAAGCATTAAATGTTTATTTTTAATTTTGTAAGAAAACAAAGTCCAAAGCGGTACACAAATAGTATTTTCATATTTGTGGAGCATGATATTCATAAATATATGTATTTTTCTTCAAGTTGTGAAAATCAAAATCAATTGCAAGGCAATATTTTCAATCTTATAACTGACAGACAGACACACAAAGCATTTATTACAGTAATCAAGAATACATTTTGCATTGCTATTTTTAGTACATATTTTTCTACCCTTGGGTACTTTATACATCATATCTGATCTTAATAATACGGTAAATGTTGATATACTTATGTCTAATATAAATAACCGTCTTAACGATAACAGTTTCATTATTTTTCTCAGTATATTAATTAAAAAATAATTATGATTAGATGTCATATGAATATAAATAATCAATAAATTGCACGTGAAACTTTCCTAGAAAGAGTAGGGGAGACCGGGTATGGTTGTGCCACTTCTTTTTTGATCAGCCATAATTTACAATTTAATTTACAAGTTAGCGGGAAGAAAATATACTAAATAGTAATATGAACATTACTATACTGTCCTACGATCGATTAATGATAAAATCAAATCATACAAAAAAGAGCCAGTGACACAACCGTCGACAAATTAGACAACTAATTGAATTGCTTTCGGAACCTTTAAGTTCGGAATTTGAAGGTCTCTTTTATTTGTTGTCAAACTATTAAAAATCTTTATCGTTTTGTATACTTATTTTCAAAAATTTTAAATAAAATATAAATAGCTTTATATAGCTCTATAAAGTAGCAATTAAATCTTGTGGAAACGTGTGAAAAATAGTGTACAAACATTCTTCGGTTACCGGAAATCATAAAAAATATAATATTTCTGCCTAAACATTTTTTGAAGATCGCTTTTATTTGTTGTCAAACTATTAAAAATTCTTTATCGTTTTTGTATACTTATTTTCAAAAATTTTAAATAAAATATAAATAGCTTTATATAGCTCTATAAAGTAGCAATTAAATCTTGTGGAAATGTGTGAAAAATAGTGTACAAACATTCTTCGGTTACCGGAAATCATAAAAAATATAATATTTCTGCCTAAACATTTTTCGTCGTCACATATACGTACGCATACACGATTAAAGTCGTATAGAGAAAACTAATCCCCCCGTTTCCCGATGCGTTGCACGAAATCCAGAAAAACGAATTTAAAAATAGACGGTCATATATAAAAGAAGAAGACCGAGCGCGTATCATCCCAGTCGCATCAGAACAGTTGGATAAAATAAAAAATTGTGAACTAAAATTTATTTTCAAAATTGATTAATTTTGTTTTCAACGATTTTTAACAAGCCCTTTTCCGTAACATTGACGGAACCTGCCTAAGTGAAGCAAAGGACGATATCGGTTGTCGTTGGTAGTGTAGTGAAAGTAAACTATAAAATTGTGAATGAAACTTAGAACATCACCAAAAATAATCCACACACTTGCAGTAAACAAATTATTATTTGTCTCTACAGACAGAATCAAATAGAAGAAAAACTTGGCCGCCAAATCAAGATTGACATAACTGTCAATTATTTTTATGCTGATCATTTATTAATATATCAATTTTGACTTTCATCGATTCTATCTCGGCCCCCCTTCCCACCATGACGCTTTCGGCCAACAGCAATGCTACCAATCGCCTCGGGTCGCAGCAGGGACGTAGCCTCCAATTAGCCGCCGTGCGAATACAGGCCGGCTACAGAGGATATCGCGTGCGCAAGCAGCTCAAACGCTTGTCAAAATCGAAAGTGAACGGTTGCAAAGAGAACAGCATGGCAGAATCATCATTGAACAGAGATAACGTCGACATTGTCGAAAAATCAGCAACTAAAATTCAAGCAGGAGTCAGGGGATTCCTAGTCCGACGCAAGCATAATAAGGAAAAGAAGCTGCCACCAAAATCCAAGCAGGATTCAGAGGATTCAAAGTCCGGAAAGAGTTCAAAAAAGCAAACGAAGTGTGAAGATTTTTTGAATACAGTGCACTGTTAATGCATAGTTCCAAAACAAAACGTGATATTTGTGAATGAAGTGATATTTTTTTACTGGCCGACAAACAAAATTTGTATTACATATTATGAATAAAATATTTATAGAAAAAAAGTAAAAATAATGATCTTATCAAATGATGCAAGCCAGTTTGAATATGAAAACATCGAATAAAGTTTCCAATAATTCACATTTTACATAAGTATTATAATCTTATTAATATAACATAAAATAAATTTAAGAACATAATGTTCCATTTATTTAATATATCTCGTTTCTAAATGCGATTGTGTTGAGGGCATAAAATTAATTTTATCAAAATTTTGATCCTATGCAAGAACCTACATTAATATAATGATCTACGTCATAAAAATGTGTGTTACATCAAGTTTAGCAATGTTGATCTTGGTTTGATTTATGACACTAGTCAGACAAGATGAATGTATAACCAGAGTTGCAGTAATATTCAGCCTTGACCCAAATTTAGTGAAATCTTGCACTCGAACACTAATGAGTTTCGCACGACCAAAAAATAAACAAAGAACCATATTGTAACAGGTTTAACAATAAGCCTTGTATTAAGAAATGGATCACGTATCATATTGAAGTAGTTGTAATATAGCCAAAACGAGATTTAGATATTTCTATAATGTAAAATAAACAGAATTTACGAATAAATATTTTTAATTATGAATATTGTGTATGATTTTTAATTACTTTTCAGGGTAAAAATAATTGCAATTATTGATTTATTAACTTTCCCTAGGGCAAGTTATAGTAATTGCAAAAAAATCGAAAATAATATTTTTTATATATCTTTACGTTTCAGAGATTTCTGGACATTTTGGCATACCTTACAAAAAATGGATGTATGTGTGTGTGTGTGATACAATTTTCGTCGACGATTTCGTAAACACCGCGATCAACCGATTTCAATAATTCAAAAAACATTCGATTCGTATTGATAAGGAGACGTGCTGATTAGTTTTTGGCGAAGGCAGGTCTATTTTTATTCTTTAATTGCTTATTTCAGTACTCAAAAATAATAAGTGACTCACAAGTTGGTGAATCGACTATTATAAATTATTGGTGCAAATACATTTGTAATATGAGCAGTAAAAGTAGTCGCATTATAGTAACTTACTTAGTTTTGGAACAACCTATAGGAACAACCTATAGGACAACGACAACGTCATGTGTGTGTGTGTGATACAATTTTCGTCGACGATTTCGTAAACACCGCGATCAACCGATTTCAATAATTCAAAAAACATTCGATTCGTATTGATAAGGAGACGTGCTGATTAGTTTTTGGCGAAGGCAGGTCTATTTTTATTCTTTAATTGCTTATTTCAGTACTCAAAAATAATAAGTGACTCACAAGTTGGTGAATCGACTATTATAAATTATTGGTGCAAATACATTTGTAATATGAGCAGTAAAAGTAGTCGCATTATAGTAACTTACTTAGTTTTGGAACAACCTATAGGACAACGTCTATTTATAGTCGATTTATTTCAATTATTTCTATATTCTATACTCCGTTATTTATGTTTATTAATTATCTAGTTTGAATTATCGTAATAAACATTCATACATAAAAATTATTTAATTTAATTAAAATCTTAATATCCCTAAGTCTTGAGTCACTCGATTTTTACTCTAAAATTGCTACCAAAATTTTGAACTTATTCATAATAAAATAGAGAAATTAGCAAACACTTAATGTAAATACATATATACTACAAAATATTTAAATAATAAAATTTAAGATCATATGCTACCATGCTAATATTCCTAATTGCTCACCCTCATGGCTACACCCATTATTATAGATATATTATATATATATATATATATATATATATATATATAATAATAATAAATAATAATGGGTAGTATTGTCCTAGAGCAGATCTTTGTGCTGAGATCGAAACTAAAGTAAACTCGAACTCGATTCAGAGAAGAAGGAGTGTGAGAGTTTTTCCCATTTTCATTTCACACCATATATATATATATATATATATATATATATATATATATATAAATTGTAATTGTACTTGCTGAAGTTTATAAAGTTTATTTATAGATAAAAAAAACATAATTTTTCATGATTTATTTGAAAACGATCAATTACAAGACTAGATAACTTAAATAAACATTTATAATGACTAAGTAACACAATTTCTACTTTTTCTCGTCTTTTTCTTCTGAAGAGGATGAAATATTATTTTCAATTTTTGCTACTAATCTTTTAGCTCCCTAAAAAAAAATACTTCAATGTATACATTTAAAAATATTTTTTAATAAATCTAAAGGTTTTTATATATGTTAGTAAGTATAAGTGCAGTTATACGTATCTAAAGGTTATAAGAATTATCGCTAATATATAACTTAAAAAGTCTTTTTGCAATTTGTTCACATAAATGATATACCTCTGTCAATCAAGTTCATAATTTACCATGAACCAAATTAAACAATGTCAAAACCTGTTCATTGTATTCATCTTTTATTATTAGAACCCAAATATTTTATATTTAAAAGTATACATGATACTTAAAGTTGTTGCGTTCAAGTACTTTCAATTTCTTACATGCCACAAAAATGCAACCGAACAGCATATATGATATTTATATTTCAAAATATAAGCATGTCACTGCATGTACAAATTTTTTTATGTTAATTTAACAAAGCACATAACTGTCTCTTTGAGTGCACCAAATAAGAGCAACTACGATGGAAAATTCAAAACTATCTAGTTAATTTTTATGCAGCTGGTAAGTATTTGCACTTTCAAATAACGTTGACTTAAAAATTTATTTACTGTAGGTTGGCTTATAACTATAAAAGAATAAAACTGAATTAAAACTTACTACTACTATCGGCAACTCTTTTCTATCCTTCTCATCAACAAATATTTCATTATTTTGTACCATATTCCATCCTACATGTATACCAATAATTGCAGGTATCATAACGATTAGAACTCTATTATTCTTAATAAAATCACGAAGAGATGACATTTTTTATTTAATCATGTATAGATTATTGTTTTTATATATTTTGATTCTAACCACTCTTTTTTATCTATGATTCTAACCTATAAAACCGTGCTGTCAAAATCTAATAAAGGCACTGTCACACACGCACTTTATATTTTTTAAGTTATTTGGAGCCATTATTTGAAGTATATTTTAATATTAAATTTATTATTTTAAATTTAAATTGTTTTTGTAAAACCGCCTGAATAACAAAATACCAAATTTAACTCATCAAAAATGTTCGTACACACAAGAAATAATACTTTATGAAATAAATACAGGTGTTTACAAAAATCGATATCGATCATTGTGTGCAAATAACCTCTGTGTGTCATGACACTAACACCAACTTTTAATGATTAAAATATTTTTAAATATGGTAACACTCGAAATGAGAATGATAATGGTAATTCCATAGATAAAAGAAGAGTAGAAGGGTAATTCGTTATCAAAAAATAAATAAATTAATTAATCTGGTCAATAAAAAAAATTATATAAGATAACTTGCCACAAAGGCAAAAGTTTGTACATTTCCAAAGGTAAGATTGATCAATTTGTTAGTTGTTTCTATCATAATTTTGAAAATCTAAATTTATTACTCCACAACATACCAATCAGTAAGTTTCTTTTTTAGTGAAAATAAGGAATTAATTTTTCTAACCTATTACTTATTAATATTTTACTATTTACATGTATTTATATTATACACCTTGTTTTAAACCTAGTGATGGATTCCAAACCCTTTGATCCCGTGGAAAATGGGCTCGATAAAGACTTCAGGCTTACTAAATTTACTGAATTAGGAGGGTGAGGTTGTAAGGTCCCTCAAGATGTTTTAAACAACTTACTTGAGGGACTCTGCGATATGGAGAAGGCCAAGTCCAGTGATAGTAAGGAAGTTGGTATGTTTCAATTTATAATATAATATATATAATTGTTGTTATATGATTATCTCAGCATATAATTCATTATAACCATATCCATTGCTTCTTTAGTTATATATGACGAAATATTATTAGTAAAAAAATAAATTACTATTTATTTCATAGGAATTGGATTGGACTGCTCCGTTACTCCTCTCGAAGAAAACTGGTACCTTTTACAAACAACAGATTTTTTCTATCCTTTAATTGAAGATCCATATTTAATGGGTAATTTTTAAAAATTAATATTCAAATTGTTTTATTACTAAAAAATTGTTTATTAATAGGTCGAATTGCTTGTGCAAATGTGGTCAGCGATTTGTATGCAATGGGTGTTACCAAAATTACAAACATGATGATGTTATTAGGCATTAGTAATAAAATGACTCCGAAGGAACGAGATTGTGTTATTCCTTTAATGATGAAAGGATTTAAAGTAAGTTTCAATAAATTATCTTATAGGCTTGATATGTATTTAACTATTTATTCATATTTATCTTCTAGGATGGTGCTAAAGAATCAGATACAACTATCACAGGTGGACAAACAGTCTTGAACCCTTGGTGTATTATTGGTGGTGTCGCCACATCAATATGTCGTGAAAATCAGTTTATACTGTTAGTATAAATTTAATTGCAAAGTTAACATTTATAAATTCATATATATTGAATTTTCTATAAATTTTAGTCCACACAACTCAGTGCCTGGAGATGTTTTGGTTTTAACTAAACCTTTGGGAACCCAAATTGCTTGTAAAATACATCAATGGCTAGATGTTCCAGAGAAATTAGAAAAAATATCTTCTGTTATATCAGTGGAAGAAATCAAATTTGTTTACAAACAAGCTGTGCTATCAATGGCTCGTCAGAATAGAATTGGTGAGGAATTCATAATACGGATTGATACAATTAAAGTTTTAAAAAAATATATGATCTTCACTTCTTCTTTAATTTAATTTAAACTAAATGGGGGTGCAATTTTTTTTACATTAATTATAAGCACAGGAAACAATGTAATTGTTTCTTAAAATTGTAATGTATTTATATTCAATTATTTTTCTTCAATATTATATTATTTTTTTCAGCTGCTATGCTTATGCATAAATATAATGCTCATGGTGCTACTGATGTCACAGGCTTTGGAATTCTCGGTCATGCTGATAATTTGGCCCAGAATCAGAAAAATAATGTTTCATTTGTATTGAATAAACTACCAGTTTTTTACAAATGTTCCGAAGTTGCCAAAATCTTCAGCAAAATGTTTAAGCTAGCAGAAGGATATTTGCCAGAAACTTCAGGTATACAACATGTATATATATAATAGGAATAAAAGGTATTATAATATCTTTAATAAACCCAGTTTAATTTCCTTGGGTGTTTATTTTACAGGAGGCCTATTAATAGCTTTACCAAAAGCAGATGCAGAAGGATATATTAAAGAGATTTATGAGCTTGAAAAGCAAAAAGCTTTTATTGTTGGTCATGTAATAACTGGTGACAAAAAAGGCATGTTAGCAGATGCTACAATTACTGAAGTCTCTGAACTTGTGGATTAAGAAATAAATAGTATAACTAATATGAATAGTTTAATATATTGTTATTGTATTTGTTAATTTTCCTATATCAAACTACCGTATGATGAGAATGTTTGAAAATCCATTGGATGGAATGTTCTTTGAAGTTTTGTACTTTGTTAGAAGAAAGCAATCAAATAGATTAACAATGTATTAATTGTTGAATAAATATATTTTTATCATGGATGTTAAAAAAGGACTATTTTTTATTAATATTAAAATTAACTTTTTATTAGCATTTACAAATCACACACAATTTTCTGATTCCTTACTGTTTAAAATATTTAAAATAATATTCATAAAAATTGGTATTGTATTTCAAATAAACCGCCAACTGTATCATATTGAAATATGCTCCTGACGTCACACATTTTGTTAAAATTTGAATTAAGTTTGTTGTTTTATTTATTGCATAGTTAATTAAAAATTAGAGTTCACTATTTTTAATAATTTATTTAATAATGTGGCAAAAGTTAAACTGTAATTCCAAAGATTTACAACTCTTGGGCACATTGAACGGCGGCCAAAGTTTTAGGTTACGTTTCTCAAAATTTTTAATCAAGCAAAACTCTGAGTATTCTTTTTCTATTTATTTTAGGTGGACATTGAAAAATGAGGAATGGACTGGAGTATTTAAAAATACCGTGTGGAAAATAAAACAAGATCATACAAGCACATACTATCGCGTTGTAAATTCGTTATTGATCAACTCTCAAGATCAAAATAATATTAAAAAGAAAATTAAACTTGATAACGATGATATATATCCAACTCTTTTAAGAGAATATTTTCAGCTGAATGTTGATTTGCAAAAACAATATTTGATGTGGAACGAAAAAGATTCCAATTTTTCGAAAATATCTGAAAAATTTTACGGTATTAGAGTTCTGAAACAAGAACCTATTGAAAATATTTTTTCTTTTATATGCAGCTCTAATAATAATATACAACGGTAATTATTGAACTATTTATGGAACAATATGATAGAAATATAAAATTTTTACTTTCTGTAGGATAACTGGTTTAGTAGAGAAATTATGCACAAATTATGGTGTGAAAATTTGCGATGAAGACGGAGTATCATATTATAGTTTCCCAGAAGTAGAAGCTTTAGCACCAGATGGGGTATTATTTTTAAACTAAAATTAAATTGAATTGCTATATATCAATTTGATATAATATCGATAGCAAACGAAAATGATATAAGTTTACTATAACATTCAAAAATAATTGAATTACAGGTAGAAGATAACTTGCGTAAATTAGGTTTTGGTTATCGTGCAAAATACATTAATCAAACAGCAAAAATGATTACTAAACTAGGAGGAATTCAATGGATAAATGAATTAAAAGAAACAGATTATACTGTAGCTAAAGAAAAGCTTTTGCAATTGCCTGGCATTGGCCCAAAGGTATATTATTTAATTCTATTTTTTTATGCAATTAATTCAAATTAATTATTAATGTTTAGGTTGCAGATTGTATTTGTCTGATGTCTTTAGGACATCTTTGTGCAGTACCTGTTGATACACATGTATTTCAAATTGCAAGTAGTCCTTGCTATTTGCCTCACTTAAAAAAATCAAAAAGTGTCACTAAAAAGATCTATAATGAAATTGGTGATTACTTTCGAGACTTATATGGACCATTAGCTGGCTGGGCACAAACGGTAAGATCTTGTATGATTTAGATGTATTTTAAAATTTATTATGAACTATTTTGCCTATTTTCAGATATTATTTTGTGCTGATTTAAAGATGTTTTCAAATGAGAATTTAATTAAATAAATGAAATGCCCGCAGGATCCGTTTGGAGAGTATTATTATTAATATTCAAAGTATATATTTATATTAAATATAACTTGAAATTGTTTCAGAAATTTACAATTATATTATGTTACACTAGTACTTGCACTTGTATTGATATTTGTTAATTAATTTTAATTGTAATAGAACTTAAGAAATTTTTATATGAAAATAAATATAATTTTAACTCCACTGGTTTTCTCTTCAATGTATTCTTTTTTATGTAATAGCAGCTTCATAATATTTTTCTTAATAGTTAAAACGAGTTGTTTTTCTTAATTGATTTTATTATCTATCATAGATTTATTTAAATTAAATATATTTGGAATTGGTAAGAGATTTATAGCATATTCAAAGATGCATTATCAATAATAAATATTTCATGAATATAAATTTCCATAAATAAATGTCCTTACTGTACTTTAATATCAATTTAATCTTATGTAAACATCACAAGACTAGTGCCATAAAATTTAATGTTGGTTCAAGATAATGCAAACTCAAACAATGATATGAAATAATAAAATTTCGAAAACGAAAAAATTCATGAATTGATATAAATATTCTGTTTTGTCTATTCGATGAATTTATCTGTGACAAAATCAAGCAAGCTGTTTTGCATATCTTATTTCCATTTACATACCGGCAGATGAATACATTCAGAATTAATTATGAATGATAAGAATTCTGGGATAGTTAACCTTTTTATTAAAGAACGTTCAATTTCTAGTATGAAATCAAATTTAAAAATTCATAATTTCTATAAATTAATTAATTTTCTGACTAAAACTTTTAAAATGTATACATCTTAACTTAATTTTAAATTTTGAAAAAGGAGGGTTTTCTTAGGTTTTGCATATTGGTTGCACTGTAAGGTTTTCTTTCATGAAGGATGAAATTAGCAAGATAAGAGCCGGTGAAGTTTCGGAAAATTTGCTATTTATTTGCAAATACAGAATTTATGCGAACAATAGCTATATTAAATTAAAGTCGAATAAAAGTTTTTATTCTCAACTCTTGAAGAGTACTAATGTTTTGAAGAATTTCGAATAAAGAAATAATTTGGCATAACTTTTAGTTGAAAATGCCGTCTCGAATTCTAGATCCCGAGGCTGTTGTGCAGCGAAGCGAAGATGGATTGAAACCGAATTATAAACCTTTAACAGAAAAGGATGCTCCTGAAGGTAAAATTAATACAAGAGCGTTTTTATTTATTGTCATATTAATTCAATTTTGTTTACATATTGAATAAAACTCGTTTCCCATGTGCCTTTCTCATATTCAATTGCATCATACAAAAATCAATAAGCATGTAAACGCCATTGCAACAGGTTCCACTCCGCATGCTTCTGATATTTACGCATATATTTAGACATTTTATTAAAGTGAATTGGTAGGGTATTGTATGATATTTAACTTGATAGATCCAGTCTTCATTTTTATAGTGAATATTTGATATATAGGTGTGTGTTTAAAGACAGTGTGATCGTATCTAATTCTTTAATTAGATAATACTAATATAGATTTGTGACGAACTTGGAAATTTCCTATTTAATTGAGATGTAAGTTACATATAAGTTCTCTTTTATCTATGGTAATAACTGTAAAGTAAAATCTCGCAGGGTTTTTATGTTTTTGACCTTCATTTGTATTATGAGTACATTCTTAACTTGAAACGTATTCTTGTAACTTTCAACTTTTAAATAGTTCACTTTTTGTTAAAGTTGTAAAATTGTCAAGTTTCATATTTTCATAAGTTTAGCATGTCACTGTGGAAAATAGTAGTAATATTAATTTTTGCAAAAAGTACTGACTATTTATGAGAACTTATTGTTATTAATATATATTGAGATATATTATACATAATCATTTGATTCAAATACTTAGGTATATTCTTTTTTAAGTGATGGCTTAAAAATTATAATGTACCCTTATATGCAAATAATATTTTTATTATCATTGTCAATTATAGATAGTTCAGAAATCAAAGTATCAAAAAAAATGGTGCAAGAAAATGGGGATGCCCATGTAGATGAGGCAGCGGAGAAGATGCTGTCTAATGCAGAAGGAGCTGAAGTGAAATTTATTTCTGGGGATCGCACAAATGGGGATGCTAAAGTTGATGTGGAATGTTTGCAACAGGTGATGAATTTAGGGAATACTAGTTTGTAACAATCCTGAAGCAATATAGAAGATTTTTATAATGACAAAGCAATTGATCACCAAAATATAATTTCTAATTCATTGTCTCAATTGTATAAATAGGTTTTCACAGGAATGGGTAAAGAAGAGTTGATGAAATATGCTAAAGATCCATTTTGGGTTCGATTACGTTGGACTTTGTTTGTGCTTTTCTGGCTACTATGGACTGCTATGCTTGTTGGTGCTATTGTTATTGTTATTGCTGCCCCCAAATGTGCCGCTCCTGTGCCAAAAACTTGGTAATTATTTTTTTATTTGAAGATTCCTCCACATACAAGTAATTTTTTGTAAATTTGCATTTTATTAATAACTTAGTTGAAACAAATTGTTCAAGTAGGACATCCTGAAATATTTTGATTTAGTTGTAATATTATAATACAATTTCCAGGTGGGAGGAAGGGCCATTAATAGATATTGATCTTTCTGATGCTGCCAAAGACGAATCAAATATATTCAAAAACTTGAAAGATATTGGTTCCAATTCTATAGTGCTTCGAATTCCAGATAACTATGACTTATATAAGGACAATTTCACTTATGCTGATATAAGAGATGTTATTAAAAAAGCCAAGTGAGTGTTATCGATATGAAGTATTTTAGCTCCAGTACTCAATAATTAATCTTACTAGTATACAATATACCACTATATGATGCAATTTATTTGATTGTAAACAAAATGTATATACAATTTTTTTGTACTCCCTTAGATCTGAAAATGAAAATTTGCACGTTGTACTTGAAATTCAAGCCAACTTCGTACCTAAAGAGAACAAAATGTTTATGGCAAGTGAGAACCGTGATTCAGAATATGCAGACTATTTTATATGGTCTGATGGTAAGGTCGGAGATGAACCCAAGGATAAGGTGCCAAATAATTGGGTATGAATCTTGTATTAATTATTTTTATATCAAAATTTGAAATGCTTATATTAGTATTTGTTCAAATATAATTGTTTATAGAAAGCGACTGTAAATGGAAGCGCATGGAATAAATCTGATAAAAGAAATCAGTATTATCTTAGTCAATTCGGAGATCGTTTTGCTGATTTAAATTTTGGTAATACAAATGTACGCAACATCTTTGCTGAGGCACTTGAAAACTTAGTTAACACTGGAATATCTGGAATAAAGTAAGTGTGACAATAACTCTTGAATAAAATAAGTCTCAAATATAAAATTTTTTGCTTTAATTTAAATTTTTATCAAAATTCAAGATTACGTTATGCAAAACATCTGCTGATTGATGAGACTTTAATGGATGAGGCTTTCAGCTCTGCTCCTGGATTTGTTCATAATGATTATGGATTTTACAACCATTTGAGAACTAGTAATCAAGCTGGGCTTGGTGAATTAGTTCAGCCTTGGAAAGAAATTGTTCATAATAATACTGAATCAGGTAAATTTCATGTCTAACTATAAAAATCTGAGGTTGCCAGGAGCAGCAAGTATCATTGAAAAAATTTTTGCAGGTGTTTTCTATATTGCTGAAGATATTGACAGAAATACATTTGAAGTAGATAGTGAGATTATACCTCAGTTACCAAGTGCATCAAAGAAGTTAATTGCATTAAATAGAGATGCATATAAATCGCAGGCCAAAGATATATATACATCGTTGAAAAGTTTAGATTCTGAAACAAGTTGGCCACATTTACATGTATGTAAAAGATGCATAAAATGTATAAATATCTATTTTAATAACTTTTTTTTTTAGTTTTCAAGTCAAAATGTAGAAGACAGATCAGAGCATAATATTTTACTCATGCTTCTACCTGGTGTGCCAGAATTGTCTAAAGAACAATTACTAGGGTTAAATAATTCTCTAGTAAATCAATCTAAAGTTCTTTTAACAGCAAGGCAAAATCCTTCTGTTAAATATGGTTCATTTAATGTTCAATTGTTTGCAAATGAAACAGTTGTGGGATATTCCAGGTACAGTTTTATTTTTTTATTATTTTTAAATAAACTTATGTGAAAACTATTTCATGCTTTTCGATCATGCTATTAATATCGATTTATTTCTCATTTGCTTCCATTTTTTAATGGACAGGTTGTGGTAAGTTAAATTTTATTAGCTGATGTTATTATAATATAATTGTAGAGATATTCAATTTACTATGTCCAAAATGATAGCATATCCAACAAATGAATTAATTTTTGATTCTGTTGAATCAGAAAGTTTGTACATATATATGTATATATAATATGAAATATTTTTCAAGGTTGAAACCTGGAAATCCTGGCTTAATAGTTCTGTACAATACAGAGCAAGATACATCGACTGTTAATTTGGAACCTTTATTAGGGAAGGTAGAATCTGTAACAGTGATGTTATTGAGCAACAAATATAATGAAGAAGGAGTCACTATAAAGTAAGAAATATAATAGCTTTATAATAGTTAATTTGTTGTCTAATTGTCATATTATTTCTTACAGAGGTACGCTGCCTGCATCAACAGTGCCTATTTCTCCTAGAGCAGCAATATTGCTATCATATATTCCAGCATCCGAAAATTAAAATCTATATTGGATTTTAAATGCTAGATATTATTATATTTATTGAAAGATATTTCTAAGAACTAATGATCCAATATATGCCAAAATGAAGGATCTATTTAGACAATAAATGGATGTTGCATGCAAATGTGCTTTTGAATTAAGTTTTCTTTATTACCTTGCATTTTTTGCATTTTACTGTAAACATAAAATAAATATGTGCATATGAAATGAATGGAAGAGTTTTTTCTTTAATATTTCATACTGTGTATTTTACTTGTTTAATTTAACCTAAAACATTTATTGCAGAACTGAGTAAATTAAATTTTTTTGCAAGTTTCAACTAATTGTAATAACTTCATAATTTTATTATTAAGTGTTGTTCGTAGGACTGTTGTAAACCATAACTTATCCTAGCATGTGAGGATTTTTGTAGACAAATTTCAGGGCATCACTGATAAATACATAAATTGCAACATACACAAAGAAAAAAATACTCAAAACTCCCAATATATGTACTTTTGAAAAACTTAATTATACTCTGCATGATAAAAAACAGGATTACAACTCTCATTTTGTAATTGTAAAATATAAGAAGAACTCATTACATTCCAATAATGATATAGTAATACATATTCAAATGCTTGAAATGTAAAATAGGCGCAGTTCAATGAAGTATTCTCATCACGCAGTTATTAGTTTTCAAAATTTTTCACTGAAATGTTTTTTAAGTAGTTATAACGGAACATATTGAATAAATATAAATATTTATCTATATACCATTTAATATGTTTATTTAGCAATTTCTATATACCTAAATTATCCAAAGTTCAAAATTTAAATTAAAATCAAGATATTTTGTTACTGCTAAACTGGTTATTAAACAATAAATTATAAAACACAAGTTCTTTATGATTACACTGTATTTTTGTTTCAGTCCTGGTGATATTCAACTAAAGAAGATTATTGAACTTAATAATTCAATCAGTATCACCAAAGATTAATTTATTGTAACAAAACTATTTAGCCAGTTTTTTTGGGCTTGGCTCATCGTTGTTTTTAGTTTTACTTTTTGCAATAGAAACACGAGTTGTTAGAGCTTCCTGTAGCTGATCCATTTCAGTAGGTCCTGCCATAATAAGAAATACTTTTATTTGTGCAGCACTATCTACTGCAGTTATACGTAGACTCTTTGGGCTTGCTCTTTCTACAGTCATATCTTCCCATACTAAAGTGTTTAACATAACACGATGGCTTCCAACATTTCTCCAAACTAATCTAGAATCTCCATCCTCTAAATCATTGAGTCTCATTGTACCTCGACCTCTGTCTTGCCATATACCTGCTTGGAATGCAAATAATTTACAACAAAGTTGTATTACATTTTTCTCTCCTTCTTCGCCTGTAATGACTTCCACTTCTTCATATTTACGTTTGTTTGCACGACTTTCCTCATATGCCTTTGCACTTTCTGTTAAACTCACTGCATGATTCTCTTTAGTTTGTGTTTCATTTACTTCCTTCTTTAATAAAGATGTGAATAAATTTTCTGAAGTTCCATTTGATGAGGTAGCATTATTTGTGTTATTTGATACAGGTTCTTCTTTTTCACTAGCTTCTGTAGTGCCTTCTGTAACAACTCTATCATGTACATTCTGGCCAAAAACAAAACTTGAAACTAAAGTAGATTTTGAATCGGTGGGACCTGAAGAAGTTGATGGAGTAGTTGATTTGGCTGATTCTGTAACTTCATGCAATTTTATGTTGCTTTTGTCATTGCTTTTATCCAATTCTTGGTTATTACTTGAAGTTTCATTTTCTTTAGTATCACTAACATTTTGCTCTACTTCATCATCAATGTTTCGTTTAAATGGATTTAATTTACTAGGGGCCAATGGTCCATTACTCTTCTCTGAGGATTCCTCATTCTTGTTTGAACCCAATTGGGAGGGTCGTAAGAATGATGGCCTTAAAGTAGCACTTTTCTTATTGTTTAATATAAACGGATTATTAGTTGCTGACTTTGAACTAGTGGACCCAAAAACCCACATTGTTGGAATATTGGACGACGTAGATGAGGTAGAATTCTCAGTTTCTGATGAATTTTCATTAGAACTAGAATCATCAGGAGCATCTATTTTCATAATAATTGGCGATTGCACGGTGTTGCATTGATCAGGAGCATCGGACATGTTTCCAAATTCAATATTATGAGCCTTACTCTAAAAGAAATATGATTATACTAATTTGACATGTTGGAAAATATAGAAGCTGGATAAACATTGTCACTAACCTTAACGTACTTCCACTTTTAATATGCAAAGATAAATAAAATCATGCGAATGATTATTTTATAATTAGTGTTTTATGTACAAAAATATTCAAAAATCACTAATATCGCATGAATTTCTAAATGACAGATAGAAAGATGATATTTTAAGTTTATTGTTACTTTCAGAAAATGTCGCTTTGGTGTTTTGCATTAGTATTGCCAGCGCCGATTGATAGCTCTGCTTTCGTTCAACCTGACGTTGCCGTTAAAGTTTAATTAACGATTTATGAGAACATGATGAAAATCATAGATAAATAAGCACTATGAAGCATGATGAGAACTATTATTTTTATTTATATTAATAATCAATTTGAGTTTTTTTGTTTGATAACTAACGTATGAATATGAAAAATTCATTTTTTTAAATCGCTATATGAAGGCCGATATTTCATAAATGAAAATCATAATTTTTTCTGTACGTACGGTTTCTTGCATTAACATGTTAATGCATGATGAATGTATGCATGCATTAATCTACTTGATTGGATAATTCTTTCAGTGTTTTAAAAACTAATTAGTTAGTTACATTTGTTAAAATCGGCATAAAATTTAACAATTAATTACAAAAAACGGTCGGAATTATCTTCACCAAAATAAGCACGTGCTGCTATGTTTTATGTCAATATTAAAAAAAAATTGCACGTTCGCTCCTTATCTCATTGTTTATTTTGCACAATTAATTATAATATTATAAACACTTACTTAACTAAGCACAATTTTTTTCCCGGTATTAAAATTTTGTAGATATACATTTATATGGCTATATTTATAAATTTTCATTACATTATCTCAACCATATCTCAACTATCTCCTAAGCATAGATGCATAAACATAAATTCTCCTAAATCTAAAACTTTTAGTTTTTTTAAGATAGAACTTCTAGTAGAACCATAGTAGAACATAATAATTATAACATATAAAATTAATCGTTCTATAAAAGTTTATATTTTCATTTATGATAAAATTAGCTTTACCCATGAGTATTTACACCAAATTGCCAAAAATATACGATATTCCTCAACTCAACGATATTCCTCAGTGAATAAAAAACGAGAGAGGAAAATTTAGATAATTTTAGATTATAATTATATTAGTTATCATTCAAGATGCAAAAACAAAAACAAATATGCAAAGATAAGGAGCAAATATACTCTTCTTTTATTTATGGAGCAAATACACAAAGTAAAATACTTATACCATTTCAAAAACTACTTAACTTTAAGTAGGAGTGAATATATAGATTTTGATGTTATTCCAAAAAAATAAAATGTTATATTTTTAGTGATGAACAATACAAAAAGAATATATTATCAAAATAATTAGAAAATAAGATTGGCGATATACTTTTTTTCCGATACAAAAACATTGTAAAATCACTCCATACAGATTGAAAATTGGGCGTTTTTCGGTCAGCACATGATAATTTTATACTATTTCTTATATTTGTGGGGATCAAGCAGGCTTAGTCACCAGAGAAAAAACAATTGACTTGTTTTTTTGATATCGTAATATTTTATAATCAATAAATTCTATAAATTTTTATACAAGTGGAGTTTTTACTTTCATATCCATTACTACTTCCACATATTGTTATAATTTTTAATATATCAAGATTTTTTTTTTGATTATTTTATTTCCAATATGAATGATTATATTGATCCTGATACTTTATAGTTTCTTAGAATCACCACAAAATATAAGTATATCATGCATTGAATTAAAGTCGTTTGATCAAAATTCGACTGTTATCAAAAGATAATTGGACGCAATCTCACTAATAGTAAACAATCAGTGAATGAAGTCACAATTTAGTATTAGATAGTAAAATATTTAAATAGATCTGTAATTTGCGATCAATTTATTGTTGTGGTAAGGTAACAACAATCAACAATCATTAAAAATATTAGACAATATGCAAATTAAAATCTTTATCTTGAGCTTATCCCAGATGCTGAAACAAAGCGTGTCAAGTACAACAGCACCACTGGCAACGGGCAACGGTGAATCAGATTCGACCTACTGCTCGCATAGAATAGATTGCATTACGTAACGATACATTTATAAGTGCATTGCAACTACTTGCATGCGAAAAATAAACGTATACAAATATATTTGAGATAGACTGGCAGAGATGTATTAAATATTTTACAAACACGAGATACTTTGCTTACTGCTTGTGCTCTAAAATTTGTTTTCTTTGGGCTCAAATCGAATCACAGATATTTGCACTTGCTAAAAGGTTTTTTCATCCTCTTTTAAATAAGACCTATACTATATAGTAGTGCTCGGGTACTGGGGTAAATTACCCCAAATCGAGTAAAATAAATAAAAGAAACAATAAATTTTTTGGGGGTAAAAAGTAATTATTTTTAATCGATATTCATTGTATTTGCTACATTGTCGTCTATCTGAGGAATAATCTCTTTTCGCGATGAGGGTAATATCAACATAGACCAAAAAATTTGGGGTAATGATTAAAAAAGTTCCCCGACCGCTGCAATAGAGGCACCGAAAATGCCAAGACATATATTGTTGAAAACGAAATTTACTGTATATTTTCAAATTTACAACTATAGTTTATGTCCTTTTTCGATTTCTTCAATTACATAATACCTTTTTCTGTTTATTTCACTTTATTTTATCGAATTTTTCGTTTAAATATAGTTATTTATAGTTGAATAAATATTCAATAAAAACAAATTAAAATCTTATGATAAAATCCACTATCAAGATAAATATGATATAATAAAGAATACTGCAGTTTATACATAATACAAAAAATCAATTTGGGTTTGTTGATCATTATCTTTCTGATATCTATTAACATAAGAGTGCCATAACAACATATACCTAATAATAAAATATTAACGAAATCATGTATTTCATAAAATTTCGGTATGAATTTAATGCAATGTTAATTAAGGTGTCCTGGATTGTCCAGGGCAGTTCCGCATTTCCACCTCGCGCCCCGGATTTTTCAAGAAGTATTATTTGTCACTAATTGTCCATGCTTTTTGAAAAAAAATCAATATTTAATTGAAATATATTTGAACTAGAATTATTTTTACAAAATCTAACCCGAACTAGTGGTGTATGGCATCGCGCCTTGAGGCAAATTGCTGGAACTTCCCGCACCTTAACGAAACATTTGAGGAATATTAAATGTTTTCAAATGGATCATTATAAATACTGTAACATTTTCTAATATTTATAAGAATTATATAAACTACAAATTACAAAGTTAAAATTACCTATTAACTTCCCGGAGGGTATTATAGTAAAATGAGCCGAAAAATTTTCATTTCTTCACGTTTTGAAGGTTTCTAAACATTTTTTGGCATACCTCAGAAAAAATGGATGAGCGTGTGTGTGTTTTGTATGTCCGCATTTTTTGTCCACGATTTCGGGCGCATCGATCAATCGACTTGAATGGTTAAAAAAACATTCGTTTTCTATTGATAGGGAGATGTGCTGATTAGTTTTTGGCAAAGGCAGGTTCAATCGTAAGGAGATACGAAGCAAATTAATTACAAAAAAAATTGAGAAAGTTTTATATAATGTATAAAAGCGAAAGATTGGTTAGTTCAGAAAAAATATAAGGGATTTTTACGCATTGTCAGTACTTTTGATTAGAAATAGCTTGATCCATTCAAACAAAACTGAACTTAAATAATATTTTTGAATAGTATTTGTTATATTTTTTTTTGTTAAAAAAAACTTTAAAAAGTCGCTATTAAAACATCAACTCTAATCCCATGCCATAAGTTTCGATGCCGAATTAAAAATGTGGAAATATGGTCAACTTACTAATTAAATTCTAAGGTTTTTAAGAAAAAGCAAATATTTTAATTTTAATTTTAATTATAATGGCAATATATCAGTGTCATTTGGTAAAAATTTCGAGTCTGGAGAGAAATTGAAAAAAATCATCTTAGCTTTCTTATTACTTCGGGTCCGAGGAAATCAACCCTCTCTTCGCATTTTGCAGGATTTTAGAGATAGAGATACTTTTGTTTACTGATACTAATACTTTTGTAATTTACTTATATATTTTCATTGATCTTGTTTTAAAGATTTTCATTTCTAGCATAATTCAAATTTTAATAGAGAAATCTACAAAACCCGTTGAATTCTGTTTTGACTTCTGCACTTTATCGAGGCGCAAAGTGAATATATTAATTATTAATAAATTTTATTTCCTACTTTAGATTATATTTCCAATTAGGCCCTGCGCAAATAACCGTATGCAAATGCGTATTTTGAAAATGAATCGTAATTATTATTTTATATGTTTTTTGTTTACATATCTCTATATTTTTCGATGTTCTGATATACGATAGTAGTATTTCATAATATAATAATAAGCGACCCAAAATCCGGTGTTCTGTACCGAAACCGGAACGAAATCCTGGAAACCTACAAAATGTGGATAAAATCGATCTTGCCAGGAGGGAAGATAATAAGTCAGAACGAGACAACAGAAGGTTTGTCTGGATATTTTGAAACAGAATAGCGGTCAGCTGATCGTGTCAAGGAGAATGGGGTATTGACAACCTTTTATAAGAAATTCCTAACTGAAATTAATTAGATAATTAATAAGACTTGAAAATAATCGGGAATTTTATTTTCTTTAAGCAATTGCATGAATTTCAATTTAAAATTATTATTAACTTAATTAAAATTATTCAATTGGTTAAGCAATTCATCATTTATTACATATTGGCACTACATTGAGCATTTAATGGAATCACATGCAAGTCTTTTCCTGTTACATTTTATATATTATGCAATTCATCGTTTTTTCAGATATTGACACTGCTAAACATTTTGGATCACATAAAACCTTTTTCCTGTTACATTTTGTATATTATGCAATTCATCGGTTTTTAGATATTGACACTGTTTTAAACATTTCGAATCACATAAAACCTTTTTCCTGTACATTTTGTATATTATCAATGTAGTTCAAATATCTACATGGAAAAATGTGCTCAGGAGTTTGAAAACATTCTCAATAATTAAATATTTCAGTTGTCGCTTACTTATTTACATATTTGATTTTCCAACTTGAAAAATGTTTTTGGAATAAAAAACATATGGCTAAGAATTATATCTAACTAAAATATATTATGTAGAGATG